TTAGAATAACTAACACTCACTCATTGAAGCCATAAAATAAATTTCACAAATACTACAGAATTCTTCAAAAAACATACAGCAGCAGGGTATGCCTTGCAAATTCCTTAGGTGGGTAAATAATCACTTATACTTTAAAATCTCTTTTTTTTTAGTTCTCATACTACATATGTATACCTTTTTCAAATAAAATTAACACTTTAAATAATATTTATGGGCATTAAGTCCACAGAATTTTTCAATATTTACCTAGCCATTTAGAAAGCACTTAGCATTTTAGGTATAGAAAAATATCTCACACACTAACTTAAGCCTTTCAAAACCCAGCATTTACCAAATCACACACAAAGTGAGCCTATTGAAAAGCTGAAAACTACCTTGTAGAAAATACAATTAAAATGGTATCGAAATGTAGTTTGTTCAATTCTAGTCAAAGCTTCTATGAATACAACTGATTTTTTGTAACTTTCTATTGTTAGTTTCAGCTGACTCCTAACAAAACTTAGTGCTTCTTTCCATTAACCCACCAAAGCAGCACACAGTCAGCAGTAACTAGATTCAAACTTTAAATGTCTAAGTGTTTTGCTAAAAAACAACAACAAAAACCCTTAGGAAGAACTGACCTATATACAGCATAATAAAATATTATAAATCTGATCTAATTTTATGAACATGTACCATTATTTTTCAGCCTAACATAATGCCCCAAAACTTAAAAATTACTTAAAATCTATTCCTACACAATTAAAAACATTTATATTGATATGAGTTTTCAAGTGGTTGTCAATATGTTAATAACAATGTTTAAATTCTTAAGGAAATGAAAAAGTGTGATAATTTCATTACCATCAAAAAAAGAACCCACATATACTTTTTAAAAGAAATTTCTATCCAAAAAACAGAATATTTTGTTCATCTTTTCCAATTATTACACCTTGGAAAATACAAGTTAGCAATATCAAAATTCAACATTTAAATAAAACTTCAAAAATTACTAACTTGTGACATTTATACTTTTGTTTATACTTTCCCAAAAGTGTCAACTAACTAAAAGAAATTAATTTTAGTTGGAAGGTATTATATAACTCATCTACTGGGATCCTCTGATATGACAGGATATTGAGACTCAGAAAGGTTCACTGCTTTTTCCAAGATTAAACAGCTGAGCCAAGACTTGAGCTTCAATTCTTTGCCTTTGAACCTAGGATATTCTCCCCTATGTCAAATTCTACCTAAAATTTTTTCATCTTCCTTCATTTTCTGAAACAATAAAGCGTTTTGACAATTGCTACATATAGCTCTTTGAAAATTAAAGAATCTCTTGATCTTTTACTTCCATAAAAGTACTGGTTTCCTCTTAACATCTTTAACAGTATATACATGCAAACAAAAACCACACATCCACTGTTAAACTTCAGGAATAAGCATAAATAAAAATTCTTGTTATTACAATCTCTGCTAAATTAAAAATATCCTTTTCTGGTAATGTCAAAATAGAATTACCTTGTGACACTTAACATTAAGTAACCACGGATAAACACCTTAACAATTAACATATGTTTTAAGTCCCCCAAAATATTTCTATTCAAGGTAGAATGTAAATAAGAGTTCTCTGCACTAAGAAAATATGCCCTTTTTAGAAGCACAAATGCTATTTTCCTCTAATACAAATAATAAATGAAGCTACCTGATATAAGATTATTATATAGGCAGATATTTTACCACAAAATATTAACATGAAATTAGAATAATTAACACCCACTCACTGAAGCGATAAAATAAATTTCACAAATACTACTGTATTCTGTAGGTTGAAAAAGGCTGAAAAAGGCTGCAGTGATGAAAGAGCACCACACTAGAATTAAGAGGACTAGAAATTTTCCACACCAGTCCAAACATAATTGACCATACCAACGGAATTACAGTTAAAATATGTTAAACTGTTAAATTCAGGAAAATTGTCCACAAATGTGATGGAATTGTGCTAAAACACTTTTCTAGTGTTAAAAAATGCAATCTCTTCACACATAGTCAAAAGTCAAATGTTATTCCATTCTATGAAAATAGTTTATACTACTTTGCTCTACGATGAATCCTCTCAAAACAGTTTTTCTTCTGATACACATTTTGCTAAGCACTCTCTATTAACACTGATAGTAAACTGAGAAAACAAAAGGCATAACAAAATTTTTTCAAGCGTTTGGCCAAATACTATAGAGTACAAAAGTGGCCTCTGAAGCCATTTCAAGAAGCAAAATGTTGTTTCATTGAACACTACAAATTAGTGTTAAATACGTCATAAAATCAATGTAGTATCTTGAAGACTACTTTGAAGACAACACAAGGGACAAAAACTGAAGAGAGAAAAGAATAGAGAAGAATGCATCAAATGTAATAAGGACAAGAAACAAAATTTTGTCTCCAGTCTACCAGCTCCCAGTGTAAAACACATCGATAACCAAAAATATCTGAAAACCTATGGTATACACTTCTACTCTCATACTTAAAGAAAACCTCTACACTTACCCTTTTAGTTGTGTAGAACACAGCATTGAGAACTGAAAAATGTAATCAAATCCCAACACTGCCATTTACTAGACATGTGTGAAGTTGGGTTATCTCTATAAGCCTTGATTTACTCATCTCTAAATAAAGGTTAATGTCACCAACCAAACAGGGTTCTTGTGAGGATCTCAAACAATGTGTGTAAAGCATTTTGCACTTAGTAAACGCTCAATAAATAGTAGCTATACTTATTGAGTTGCTTGGTGATGTGTCAGGTAGGTTTTCCAACACTTCATAAAGATGCAAGTTCATAAAGATGCAAGTTCATAAGAGGCCACTCTTATGTACTCTGATAATTTCAATTCCTTTAAAAAACAAACATATGTAAATGTATGAGGGGAAAATGGAAATGCTTTTGGCATCTTTCCAGGCATTACTGAGTTTAAAGGTTAAATTGCCAAAACATTCTACTAATTATGCAACAAATACACACAGCCATGAGTCTGTAAAAGATTGTATTAGTCTATACTGCCGTCTTTTCATCTAAATTAATAAGTCTCATTTCCAAAGCTCATCACTGTTCTTTTAATTTTAAGATCTCACCATCCTCCTCTCGATTATCATCAATAGAAACAAAACCCCACTGATTAAAATTCTTGTACGTATTCCCTCGCTGTAAAGGCTGTATGTTAACTTTGGGCAGACACCATTATAACAGCAAACAGAAAAATGACACCAAAAAGACATATGCCAAAAGTGGTAGTCAATCTATTAAACAACAAACGATTCCCTTCATCCTTTTGAGAACTCGTCGAATGCACAGTCTTTAAAAAGTGCCATATGATTAGCGGGCTACTTCATTTCTACTCAAAGATAAGAGGTACTTGCTTCTACATTTTTAAAAGGCATCCTGTGTTTTGGAACCCTTTCCAGAATAAAATTTTATTTCCTTCCATGCCCCCCCTCCCCGCGCATTGCCCCCCCCCCCAATTCTGGAAGTTAACATGTTTTCAAACAGGCTACTTCAACTCCGGAACTGATACGATAAACCTGCCCCGCTTCCTTACCAGACCTCGCTTTCTGGTTAACATACCTGTTCTCTCGAAATACAAGGCAACGAAGGTCTCCTGAACATTTTGCAACTGCCACCATAGTAACTGGCTGCAGTTTCGCCCAGCGACACGCAGCTGGACCTCCTCCGGGGTCTGATCACAGGCACTTTTTCTTCGGTGGTACTGGACAACCGAGGATGATGAGGCGCTTCCCTGATTTGAAAGAAGTGATCCAACCCCAGGGCCAGCAGGCATCCAGCGCCCCCCACCAGGCAGGAGAGCAGCGGCCTGAGGGCTGAAGGCAGCAATCCGAGGCTGGTGAAGGAGACCCACCAGACGAAGCTGGCGAAGAGCAGCACCAGGATGCTGTGCTGGAGCCTCACCCGGTGCGCGAGCGTCAGCACACACACACAGCTCAGCACCACGAGCAACCTGCCCGCCACCGCCGGGGGCGTGTGCGGGGCCGGATCGGGGATCCCTGCGTCCCCGTCCCCCCAAAGCCAAGACCACCACTGCCACACCAAGAAGTCCCCCAAGTAACAGCAGGCGGGCAGCGCCAGCAGCCACCAGGAGCCGCCGCTCCGGCTCGGGCCGGGTCCCCGCTTGGTCCGGGTCAGGAAGCAGGTGAGGAAGAAGAAGGCACAGGAGATGCTGAAGAGGGGACTGAGGCTGTGCGAGCACACGCTCAGCAGCGTCCGCAGCCGGGCGGCCCCGGCAGCCCAGTTCTCCGGCCCCGCGCCGAGCAGCAGGGCGAGGACAAAGGCGGCCAGGGCGCCCAGCGAGAGGCGCGCCCGGCAGAAGGGGGAGCCGCGCCGCGGCTGCTGAGGGGAGGCCGGCAGCGGCCGCAGCTCCACGTTGCAGAAGCGGCAGAGGTGGAAAAAGAAGCCGCGCGGAGGGTCCTGCCGCAAGGGGCTCACACAGCTCTTCACGTAACCGTTCCTCAGACTCTCGGGGGGCGAGCCGACCCCGTCCGGCTGCTGCGGGTACCGCATGGCTTTGGCGTCTCGCTCGTCCCTCCTCATGGCCGGGCCGGGGTGGCCGCGGGGCTCAGCGCCCCCGCTCGTAGCTCAGCGGCCGCTGGCGCTCCCGGACCCCCGCCCCGCGCTCGGGGCGCCCCCCGGCTGGCAGCGCGTCAGAGCTGCGCCCGCCGCCACAGCCCGGGGTCCCCGCCGCGCGGGCTGAGGAGCGGCGGAGAACGCGACATGCTGGCTGAGGAGAGGGGCGAAAGGGGCGTCTCTCCCGGATGGCTTCGGCTGCCTCCTCCTTTTCCCTCAGGCACCTCTCGGAACTGTAGTCTCGGTGTCGCCTCCCAGCTCCCTGGCTGCTACAGTTACCTCACGGCCCCAGCCTGGTCCGTTGGGCGCGCGAGCGGCGGGCGGGCGCTCCTCCCCCGCGGCTGCCCCGGCCGGGCGCGCGCCCCGCCCGCCAGCGCGCGCGCCCGCGCCCCGTCCCCGGGCCTCCAGGGCCCCGGCCGCCCGACTGGGACGCGAGCCTGGGACCCCGCTGACTGAGAGTGCCCCGGCCGAGGAGCGCGCTGCCGCGGCGGTCAGGAGACCAGCCGGGCCTGGGAGAGACAGGCGGGGTCATCTTCGGGTGGAAGGGGAAAGCCCGTTATCTTGGGCCCCCAGGCGTGCACATTCTCTTTGAGGGTAAGTCACACACCCAGCCAGGCTACGACAGGTCACTGCCCGGGTCTTGGGGGAAAAGGGCGTTTGTGGTCCCTAGCGGAGTGCACAGTATGGTAGGGGTGCCAAGCTTAGGGGAGGAGGAGGGGGGAACCGCCTCAAAGCTCGGCCCCGTTCGGGGTGGGTCCTTGGACTGTGTGAGCAAAGCTGTGACCTGGTGAGGACCAGCCACCACTAAGGCCATGGCGCAAAACCCTAATCATTGTGGCCTAAGTCTAGCCTCAAAAGCGACTTGAATTCTTGGGCCACTCAGCAGGCCCAGGGTCTTAAAGCAGCTCTTAGGGAGAAGCACGTGGAATGCACCCTGGGAGCATCTCTGTCTTGCTCAAGAACCACCTTTACAAGGGAGAAACCAATGCCCCATCTCCACTTTGCACCCTTGCCGTATATGCCCACTGGTGCACATCTTGTATTCCACCCCGCATTCTTTCCAGACTGAAAGCTTTTTCACTGTAACAGCATGTTGTGGAGTGGCAGTAGGAGTCTTCTCCAAGACCACTCTCCGGTTTGAATCTGTTGGCCTTGAAAGAAGCCAAATAAGATGCTATCTGTGAAGTACTGGTGAAACTATCAACATTAGGAAACACTGACTCAAAAGGGAGAAGAAAAGAACTTTGCTGTACGGAAGGGACTGCTTTGGAATCTAACCAATCATAACTACCTTAGAAAGTTAACTGTTTCCCTCCACCAAAACTCTCCCTTCAACCTCATAACAGGCCTGCATTTCTCAAAGAGCTAATTGCACATTTTTCCAGGGAGATGAGAAACCTTACTGTGTGATAAATCCCACAAACAGGCCCATTTTTCACCAATTAATTTATGCCCGCAGCCATGACCTAAAACAGACAATTTTCCTATATGACCATAGTTCACATGCGTGGCAGAAATTGCTGAGAAATTAGCATAAGAATTTGACTAAGGTGAAAAAGTCCAGAATTCCCTTTTCTGTATAGTGGATAAAGGAATAAATGTTTAATAGAGTTTTCTAAGTGATTACCCAAATGCTTTCCTAAAAGATAAAAATCTATCAGATCTTTTTTCCAGCATGACAATTGAAAGCAAAAAAAAAAAAAATGCTCATTTCAGCAAAACTCAGCAAATACACTTTTTAAATGATGTGCATAGAACTCATCACCACCGGTTAAAGGTTAAAACAGGAAACTTAATGGATACATTTTGAGCTAGTATAGAAGGGCATGACAAAACTAGCACAAGCATATTACTGAAATTATGTATTACTGAAATGTCCATTATAAATTCCAAAGGAAATAATAAATTGATTTTAAAATTAGAACAAATTCAGATTAAAGTTTTTTGTGAGTTTTTTTTTTTATCTGAAGTTGTCATGTGAGGTAGGATAGGCATCTTAAGGGAAAGCGGTAAACTAGAGATCCTGTTTCATGAGTTTTAGTCCAGCCCTAGGCACTTATACCCTGGCATTATTAAGCAAGTCACATAACTTTTACAGGCATCATCCTTCTCCAATGTAAAAATGAAGCAATTTAATTTATATAACCTTTGAAATCCCTTCTGGTTTTAAAAAGCTCTGATTTCTGAGATCAGACAAGATCAGGCATGTTCAGGGTAGTATGGCCATATTCTGTATGCCAAAAATTCATAGGGATCCGTAGGATTTATCTTTCAGATTGCCAAGACCAATCTTTTGTATTCTTTATACCACCAAACTAAACCAAACTCTCGGTGTTGACAAGTAAAAATAAAGGGATTTTTATCAAAGGACTGTGTTCTGAAAAATACAATTAAAAGCCCTCTTCATGAAATTGTTTTACTTCCCAATTCTTTGGCCTTCTTTCAGCTGTTATTCAGGTTTTTGTGAAGCTAAAAGCCCGACTCCTCCAATAACCCGTAGTTGGAGTGCATCCCTCCTAAATGCCAACCCAGCACCTGAGAGGATTCTAAAATAAAATGTAAGAATGTGACCAAAGACTATCAGAAGTTTACTTAACTAAAAATATGCACACACAAAAAATAAGCTATCTATGTTTATAGCTACTCCCTTTTCTGTTCGGTCTCTGTCAAAGATTATCATTAGGGGGAGGGGGGGAAATGGGCATTTATTGAAACCTTAAAATCTGTACCCCCATAATATGCCAAAATAAAAAAAAAATATTATCATTAGGCCACATTTCTATGAAATTATTTAATTATTAATTATTTAATTATGTAATTATTCTCCTACCAAACTTCAACCAATAAATGACTTAGCTCTTGTCTTTAGGTTCAAGAATTTATGATCATTATCTGTGGTGAAAAAGAAGAAGTTACTGTATACCTTTGACTTTTCTCAGAACTCTACCCCAGCCTTATTTTACCTGACTTTGTCTTCCCTCACATCCTGACCATGACCTCTCCACTTTCTAGTGGATCTCTCTATACTCTTCTGGTTTGACAACCAATCACATGGGTTCCTAGTGCTTACTACCCAGCTCCCAAGTCATTCTGGAGCAATGCAACCCCCTTTGTATTCCTCTTTAATTTCTCAAATTGGAATAGTGTCTGACAAGTTTTAAATATCAAAGAAACTTTCAGGAATAGGTAGTAAATTAACCAGTATCACTGAGACTTCAAATTTATAAACTAGAGTCATCCCATAAGATACATGAAAAGATTTTGAAAGAATGAAAGAATTAAAATTTATAAGCTTATAGTTAAAAATAAAAACAGACTAGCTTTTCTTTTGTATAGAATCATTCTGTTTTCAGTGTGCACTGGCAACATTGTTGCCCAAGTATGTTAATACCTATTTTCCTCCCTGCTAATATACATCTCAGAATTTGAGCCTCATCTTGACTCACTTTTAGTTCATCTCAACAAGTATTTTTAATTTTTATTTATTGCAACTTTATCTGCAAGGCAGAACATATTCACATAGACTATTAAATATCATAAGAGAATGAATATATGATTTTAAAAAACTGTTGGGAACAGTGTGTCAGGACTATTTAAGAAGAAGAGAATCGTTTTCTTCTAGAGTCTCCCCACTTTGTGGTTGTCTCTGCTTGTTCTCATGATTTGTTCTCCTCTACCAGTTCTGGTTCTCTCCCTTACTGTCTTCTTTCTTTCTCTCTCCAGTGTCTGTATAGATGACCATCTTCTAATCTCTCTCCTTTCTCCCCTCTCCCTGCCCTCCCTTTCTTCTCTATAGCTAATTCCCTCCCTTGTTTTACTTCTTCAGTTCTCCTATGTACTGTCTCCCTCCACCAACATTACTCTCTCTCCCTTAATGAATGCATTCATTCATTCAGCATTTATTATGTTCCTGGCATTGTGCTGGACACTGGGCTAGATGACAAAGATACAGTAATGAAGAGTGGTTCTTTAGTCTAATGGAAACTATACTAGTTAAAAAGACTGTTAGAACCCAGTATAACAGGAGCTATGATATAGAGGCAAGTAGCCTCAGTGTACTCTGGGAGCTCAGGAGGAGCACAGCAGGTCAGGAGTAATGCTCTGGGGAAGTCAGAGAAAGTGATTTCTGGGCTCAGTTCTGAAAGGTGAATAGAAGTTAACTAAATAAAGTTGAGAGAAAAGAAAATCTGGGCAAAGCAAGCAAGTACAAAAATCTGGAGGAATGTGACCATAGTGCATTTAGATAACTCGAACATCCTATGGCTACAGTGTAAGGTATGCAGGCAAAGAACCAATGCATAAGGTATGAAGGGGCTAAAAAGATGATGTGGTCCTAATATGGAGCTGGAGTTTATTACTATTTTTTATATAAAGCTTTATGTTCTGTTATCACATTTGCTCGTTTACATGGCTACGTCTACAACATACTCTTCAAACGCAAGAATTCTGTCTTATACTTAGCTCAATCTCTATGCCTACCTAGCACAATGCTCAACTTTTATGCCTATCAAGTTCTCAGCTTTTTCAAGTGTGTTTATATTTCTCAAAGCAATTTTAATAAATCAGATTTTAGTTGTGTGTCCTTTGATTTTTTAGTTAATGAATTTTAATAGAAAACTCTTAAAATATGATTTAAAAGAAAAATGATTCTATATTTTTATTGAAAAATATTTTTTAACATTCATTTGCAACAAATCAGTAAAAGAACCCTTTATCTTAAATTAAAAATAATACTATACATGTGTTTATGTTTCATTTAATTTTCAATGTAAAATAAATGGTTAAAAGATGTATGAGTGATTTTTTATTCAAGTGATGATACCTGGATTTTGTTTGCTATGAAAGCATATATTCTAATACTTTAAGAATTTTCCTTTTTCTGTTTCTAGTTTTCAGAGCAACAGTTATATCTATGACATAAACTCACCATTATAATTTTTAAATATAACAACTGGTAAAAGTATTAAATCTATAACTATTAACCTGAAATTTCCTAGATTTTTTGTTTAAACCTAAAACCCGAACCTTGAACAATAAACAGCAATGTAGACTCTTTCCAAGTTTTCCTGTTCCCTCCTTAGACAAGCAGTAGTTTCTTTAGCTCTGGCTATCCCAGCAGATCTGAAGGATCACAGCCACGACGGTGGCAGCCTACCGTTGACACTGAACTTGTGGTTAATTGTGGAGTTCTGCCACAAAACCACCTCACTACCACAAGCTGGATACTTGCCCAGGAGAGTGACAAACTGCCAGGCCAAGCAATCTACAAGAGGCAGCAAGAGCAAACTGCCTTTTACCCCAGACAGCAGTCATTTCTGGATCCCAACTAGAGCCAGCAGCGGGGCACACCAAAGAAAAATTTAGAAGTATGATTTCTCCACTAAACTTGCTTAAAATGTATTCATGCCATTTTGCAACAGAAGCTCAAAACAGTTCATCCACTTCATCATCTAGCATCATCAATAAATGTGAGACTATACTTTTCATTAATAAATTTTTTTAAACAGGCATAGGACTGGAAATAAAATTATACTTACATTACTGTTAACTGCTAAGTGAACCACTTACATATATGATCATTGCAAATAGGAGCA